AAACTAGTGTGTGTGTGTGTGTGTGTGTGTGTGTGTGTGTGTGTGTATTTCATAATAAATATAAATAATTCAAGTAAACTATATTATATATATGTATACAGGATGTCCCAAAAAAAATCAAGCGATCATATGCAGGTAGAGCAGATTAAATTGAAAAGTCCTGTACTATTTTCTCAATAATTAACAAGCGGCTCGTGCGTAGCTATTGCCGTTTGAAATAAATAATTCCTCACGCGCCTATCATCAATAATGATCACCGGGAGTATCTTATCGCGCGCTTGCATTTGCCGGTAGGCCGGGCTAATACGGTAATTTTTAATAATTAATAACTCGGTAATTATCGCGAAAATTGCAAAATAATAGAGGACCTTTCTCAGTTTTATCAGCACTACCTGCACGCGAGAGGTGATATGACCGATGCCGGACACCCTGTATAATTGTCAAAAATGTTCAGAATATTTGGAAAAGTTAACTTTTTTATTACATAGCGTGTTATTTATTATTTTATATACGTTTAGCGTTTATTTAAATTGTATTAATTAAATTTCATAAAAACATTTAGTTATTTGTATACGCTTATATTATATAATAATAATAAAAATAGGTTCTAGTAATGTTAATTGAAGTACTTGTAGATATTGGAATAATAAATTTATTCAAATTTATGCCGTATAAACAATTTCTCAAAACAGGATTGATAGTGAATATGTAATTTTTTTGTCTAGAGTATATACAAGACGCAAATATTAATATTATTTTTTTGATATGTCTATTTTTTATTTTATAATTACAGTTCACATCTCTAATGTGTAATAGAACAATATATTATTTTAATCATCAATTGAAAGTGTATAATAAATTAAGATATAAAAATAAAAATATTAAAAATTTACTGTTTTATCATGATAATAGATATTATTATTTGAATAAAATATGTATTTTATTACAGATAAAATATTATCTTAATAAAAAGTAATTAGTATAAGACAAAAGACAAATAAATTTAATTTATTGATAGAATAAAAAATTTTTATTAATTATATTACAACTTTTTTTATAAAAAAGAAGAAAACTGCAGAATAAATTTATGCATAAACAAAATATAAAATATTTATATTTTATCTTGTAAACACCTTTTTTTTCTGTAAATATAATGATATTTCTTCTTTTCTAAATTATTAATTTCTTTTTAATTCTTGACACAGAAGTATTCAATGCAATTTAAAAGATATCATAGAATATGTTTTAAAAATTACTTTATATTAGTTTTCATTTAAATCATATTTTATATAAATTCTATTATAATTTTGAATATTTATTTACATACGCTTATATTACTATACTAAATTACTAAAACTGCAATGGACATGATAAACTAAAAAAAGAAAATAATATGTGAGTTCTTCTTTTAAATATTATGACAACTTTATAATAAATATAACGTACCTTATATAGAAATTTGAAGCCAAATTGGAAAAATCCAATTCCGCAAGATTTGAGTGGTGCATAAATTGTTCGTAGCGATATTTATAAAATCTGTATTTACAAATTATTATTTTTAATACATATTTTATTAGTTTTTATTACTTTTATTAATTTTATTATTTATTTTTATATTTACTTGCACATTATCTAATATCTATTTAAATATTTAATCATATTTTAAGACTTACAATTTTTACGAACATTACAAGTAGAATATGATAAATTATTTATTAAATCTTTTAGTACACTTGCCTAAAATTAGAATATGTTAATAAAGTATTAATAAAATTTATTGTACTATAATAATATAAAAGTGACTATCACTTAACAATCAAATTTTTTTTATCAATATATTTTAATAAAATAAGATATGAAATCAATATCTTGTTGCTAACTGTTTCACACATGTAATTGATGAGTAAAAATTTAGAAAAATTATGAGAAAACCAAAAGAAATATATGACGGCCCACATTATTCTACGTTCTATGAAATTTTCAATAAGTATTTCGGAGAAAAATACTTGCAAGTCAATTGTTAACCAATTAAAATAGATCATTTTCAAAGTAGATTGTGTTCCAAATATTGAGTCTATCTTATGGGATCTTTTGTTTAATCCTCCAAATGAAGTTGTCTGCACAGTATTAAATCTTATAAAATGAAATTTGCAGTTAACAGAATTTATTTAAATTTGCTTACAAAATGATCCATATTATGCGTTTATTATTTAAAGTCTTTAGAAATTTTCTCTGATAATATATCATTGAATATTCCACAATTAGTTTTATTTTTTGTTTATCTCTTATTAAGTGCTGAAGGAGTAAGTTAATCTGATCAAATTTTAAGCCTATGTAACTAAATAAAAAAAAAATGATTATGATGTTATATAAAGATGTATAGAATGTATAGAATGTATAGAAATGTATAGAATTGATATCCTAAATTAATAATCAAAAATTTTAGTCTATAATAATTTAATTTTATTAGTATGTAATAAAGTAATAGTCATAAAGAAATCAATAAAGAGATATATTTACTCAAGAATACTTGCAATAATCAGGTCAAGAACGTTAATATAAAAGGAAGTTTAGTACAAAAATGAAAAATATGGCTGTTGCAGTGTCACAGACATATTCAACCTTTGCATATAATGTTGTTCCACAATTTAATGATATTACTGTTACGAACCATCCTAAGATGAGCCATACTTTTTTTTGCGTAACTTATTATAATCTGTCATTATTCCTAGTTTAACCAATGTCTCATCAACAATATCAAGTTTTTTTTAAACAGTTTCAGAATTTTTAATACAATATAAAAGATGCAGGATAAATAAATAATTAAGTTCCAAAAATATGTTGAATTTGTGCAACTTATGAAATTAACAGAATGTGCATTTTACTTTTCGAAGATATACAAAAGTTTTTAAGTATACACATTACTTTTATATATTTTTCATACAATTTAAAAAAATTAATTTACTATCTGTGTAGGAAAATAGAATTTATTGATACATGCGGAATTAATATATGAAAGATTTATGTATTATAATTCTCGAAACAGGTTTTTTATTCAATGTATATACATATATATTATGAATTAAAAGTTAACTTTACATTTATTTTGGATGTTTAGATACATTTAACATCATTTATTATTAATTAATTCTGAATCATATGAATGTTTCCTTACCTTTTCATGATATATACCAAATATAATCGATAATAATGTCGTAAAAAGTTCCAGCAAATGTGATAATAATCGACAGGAAAAACCTTATTAATCAAAGATACTACTGACATCAAAAGAAAAAAATAATTCATCAAATAATTATCATATATATGAGATTAAACCATAATTTTGCGCGGTCTGGAGATAAACTTGCAATTCTTGAACCAAATACCTGATTATCAGGAACGGTGTAAAAATTGTCGAATATTTTGAATCATCGTGCACGCTTTCGTTATTTTAAACTGTTCTTCTTTTACTAACTAAACGTTTGTTCACATAAATTGCACAAATGGTAACAATAGCGGAGCTTTGTAATTTCTTTGAGATACTTATGATATTAGAGTAATCAATTTACAGAAATTTATGCAACGCTGTTGAAAGAGTGGACGAAGATAAATTTTTACAAAGGTAGGTGTGGATTTATAATAGAAACGTGTAGAATATTGTTCTTGTTTTTATTTTTTATCTAAGCATTTCTATACATATATGTATAGAATTGCACAGCGAAATATTACACAGTGAAATATCAGCTAACAACACAAAACAAATTTTATATATCGTATTTAAATGATTATAATGCGCTGCTTTATGCTGTGATAAAAATTATATTATTTTATTAATTATATAAGTATATTTGTATACAAAAAATAATTCTAAGAATAAAAGTAGTTATAAAAGAAATAAAATTAATGTCAAAATTAAATACTAAAATATTAAATTTTATTCACAAAGTATTATTCACATATTATGTGTTTTATAAAAAAAACATATATTAATTATTATTTAATCTTTTAATGAATTTGGTTATAAATTGTTACGAGTGTTTACTTATTTTTGTTTACTTATATTATAATTAAAACGGTTGCAATAGGCATAATAAACTAAAAATAAAGATACTACGTAACTGTGCTGTACATTATTAAAATGTTTATACAGATATGAACACCAAATAAAATATATTAAATAATATGTTATATTAATACAGATTGTGTTACATCATACTAATATAGATAAAATTTTTATTGCAAGTGCGTAATTTTAAATGACTTATGTATTATTTATAATATTAAATAATTCTATGAATGGGATGTTTCTAGTTTGGCTATAAATTTCTTATAAGGCATGTTACATTTGTCATATAATTATACAATTCAAATTAAATTAATAATAAATATTAACAGAACTTACGTAATTATCCATATCATGCATTTTCTGTTTAAATCTTTTGAAAGTCTCTGTCGATGAAAATCATGGGGCTTTCCCAAGTTTGTTTTCTTCTATGTTTGTTTCTTTTTTTGTAAAATTTTGAAAATGTTGATTGATTTATTGAAATTTTAATTCTATATATTTAAATATGAAGAAAAAAATTGATGTAACGAAATCGTGTTATTAGCAAGTCACTCTTTCAAGCTTAAGCAAAGTATCATCGATAATATCGAGCTTCTTTAGACAATTTCGGAATTTCTGTTAAGAAGATGCAAAGCGAAATTTTATACAATTTTGAAATAATTATTTTATTAGATATATACAAATAAGGAATTAATCAGCGTAGTAATATGTCAGAATTTTCATAGAAACATTTATTTATCTATATGCGCTTGTATTAATATAATCAAGACAGTCAAAACAGATGCGGCGAACTGTAAAAAAAGCATATATTTAGGTATTTTTATTGTATTTATCAGATATTTTTAATATATAATTATACAATAAATGTGACGTACTCCGTGAAGAAATTTGAAGCCAAATTGAAATAGACCAAACCCGTAGAATCTGAGTGGCGATTGAGTCATTTGTAATAATAATTGTGTTATCTATATATTAAAATAAATTACAGTTAAATGATATTTTATATGTTTATAGTCTTTGAACATTTGTAGCTTTAAACATAAATATTTATTTTAGTAGCATTCATTAAATTTACATTAGTACTTACATTTTCACTTATTTCAATATCGCATGTAGAACATAATATTTTATTTGCAAAATTTTTCGTTACGTTTGCCTGAAATTGAAAAGACCAAAATATCAAAACTGCTTCTAATTAAAAAGTGTAAGTTTATATGACGTTACTTTATATACATTATAATTAGAGTTATGAAATGCGAATTTTATATAAATTTTATAGAAATTTGAACTTGAGAAGATTAATACCTTTGTGCTGACTTTTTCACACATATAATTAACAATAATGAGTTTTAAAACATTATGGAAAAACCAAACTAATTGAATGCAGATAAATACACTTCTATAGTTTGTATAATTATTGATGAATATTACATTGAAAAGTTCATAAAGGTTCATTGCCATGAAACCGAAATAACACCCCATTTTAAAGGTCATCTGTGTTCCGAATATCCAATCTATTTCACGAGATATTTTACATAATTCCAAATGAAGATGCCTGCGAAGATAAAGATTTTTATTGCCTGATTTTGTTATGATTTGAGTTGATTAATATTATCAAATTTTTTTTACATTATAATCCATATTATTTGTTTACTGCTTCGAGTTTCTGCAAATATACATTGAGGTGAATCTGATAGTGGATTTTCCCAAGCTCGCTTTATTGCTTTATGTTTGTTATCGGTTGTCAAATTTTGAAGATATTCATTAATTTGATCAAATTTTAATGCTATGTATCTATAGGGAAAAGATTAATAAATAGCGGTTATTAACATATATTTTTACAAGTGTTGTAAGAACAGAGTTCACGAAAGATTCACAAAAGGTTCTAAAATTAATTTATTACTCACAATAATATAATGATTTTTTTTTAATTTATCCATATGTGGATAAAGTTATATTCATAAATGCAAAATACCAACCCAAGAATACTTGCAACCATTATATCCTCGATGAGATTAATATGACTACAATGATTTAATATAATGGAGATACAAATAACTGTTACAATGTCATAATTATGTTGGGATATTATATATAAGGAATGTATACAATTGATTAATACGACTGACATAAACCATCCTAGGACAAGCCATATTATTTTTATATACAATTGTTGATTATTGATTGTTGTACCCAGACTTTTTAATGTGACGTCTATAATAGCAAGCTTCTTCAGACAATGTTTAAATTTCTGGTATAGATAAATGCATTTAAATGTATTTTTTGTTTATATTGGTTTTTAAAAAATGATTTAATTAATAAAATTTGCTATTGCAGAAGAAAATATTCTATCTTATCTTAATATACTAGGCATCTCATATTTCATATCTGTTTCTTTTAATTAAATGTGGCAAAAATATAAAAATTTTATTTCTCAATAAATTTAATTTAAATTTATTTCTCAATAAATTTATTTAAATCTAGCTAAGCTTATATTTATTGACAATAAGATATTAATCAAATTTTCTTACCTCAGTATGATACAGTCCAAACACAATTAATAGTAACGTTGTGAGACTGTTTAGACCTTGACAAATATGATGCAAAGTAGAATAAAGATTCATATAAAATAATGTTTTGGTATACACAAGATAATAATAAATTAACCACCATATTAGTATGTATAAGAAACTGAGCCATGATCTGGAATGACCTGTTGGATATTCGA